ACTTCTCATCCGTAAATAATCTGCTCTTTCACGTGATTCAGTTTATTTTGAAAAGTCTCAACAGGATCTTGAGCTTTAGTGTGAAAGGTTTATGTGGAACATAAACAAGCGGACACGCGATGCTGTTACCGTCGTTGTTGCTAAACACAACGCATAAAAACAGGCACTTGTCCGTCTGTAGTGTGGTTATATAAAATATAAGAGAAAGAGAGAACTTTAAGAAATGAATATAGCCACTACAGTGACCATCAAAACCATGAAAAAATATTGCCGTAAACAGTTTATTTTGCGACACCGCGAAACAAACGACAGCGTAAAATGAAACGATAGACGTTTTTATATCGTCATCCGATATATATGGTTATATCGAACAGCCCTAGTTGCTGGGTAGAACCAACCTGCTCACACTCAGATGCTGGACTGCTTTCACATCAGGAAGGGCTGCTGTGCAGATGCATCTATTGCTTTGTAGTTCTCAGTGCACAAATGCTCAACTAACCCCAGTCAGTGTGGATTCCTTTTTTTCTTTGCTTCTTGTAAACGTGCGAAGTGAAACAATTTAATTCTATAATGAAAACCCCCTAAAACCCATCACCCCTCCAGACCCCCCCCTCCTATTTTTTTTCTAGCATTTTTTTTGTCCCTCACTTTTTTGGGGGGTCCAAAATGGCATTAATACACCATTTGCGTGAATGTGTGCGTGAATGGGTGGATGACTGGATATGTAAAGTGCTTTGGGGTCCTTAGGGACTGGTAAAGCGCTATATAAATATACAAATACAGGCCATTTACCATTTAAAGTTATTTTCAAACACTAGAAAAAATATTGAAAACCTCATTGTGTGCAACCTTCCTTATCTGCTTTTAAATCACGTCTTAAAACATGTCTATTTACCTTTCAGCACAGCAGGACTGCCTCTTAATATGCTTGTTATTAATTGTATTTAATTTTAAGATATTCTAATGTAATTTAAGCTGTTTTCTCTTTACTTTGTATTTGTAGCACTTTGGCCAACATTGTAAAGTGCGTTATAAATAAAGATGCTATGCTATATATTTTTCAGTTTTGGTAATTTGCATTTTGAATTATGTTCTTTAAAAATCCAAAAAATGAACAGTGAAACTGGAAATGAAGTGAACTGAGATATGTTTGTGTTACCAGCCACAGTCCACAGTTAGACTAAAGCCACAGTAACTGAGTGCGAGTGTAGCTGCACACCATTTATTGCATTTTCCTTGTTTTGATTCAATTTTATTTAAGTAATATTTAACCTTTATACATTATTTTGGTGCCGCAGTCAGTGTCAGAATTTTCAGGCTATTTCCAGATCTCGTGGTTGCGTTTTTCCCGCCCTCCTCTACACAGTGAAATCTGTTCTGTACAACATCCCCACCCATCCATCTCACTCAGCTCTGTGCTAATGTCTTGCGTGAGAGACCAGGGAATTGTCTGTAGATGGGGGCCATTGACCTGCAGTGATTGTCTGAATGAATATGGGATCAGAAGATGCACTGAGTACATTGTGCATCCATTACAGTGGGATGAATGGTAACGTAGGAAAAATGGAGCCTAAAAGTGCTGTGTTCCAGTAAAGGAGAGATGAATGGTGGCGCATGTACTGAGTGCATATTAGTATTGTAATGTATGTGAGGAATGCTGCGGAGGCATTGTTTTCTTTTTCCCTTTTTCCGTGAATGTTTTTTTTCCTGCTGAAATCAGGTTTAAAGCAGCAAAGGCAGCGTTTCACTTTACTTCTGTGTATTATTCATGAATTCTCATTGTATTGTGTTTTCATTAGTATATTTTTCCCTTTGGCCTGTTATTACATGCCCTGCCAATGCACTTAAATAACTGGTTGTCACTCCCATATTGACTGAATTC